ATTCCACATACAATTCAAAACTCAATTTAACACTCTATTTAGAAACCATAACCAAACAAATTTTCTACACTCAAATCATAATTCCACAACTCACAAACTCAAAATACAATTCATACTCTCAAATCATATTTACAAAACTCTACCAAACGCAACCAAAGATTTTTTTTTTCTCTACTTTTTACACATCTTTTAATAAAAAGTCAAAAAGTCATCTCAAACAAACTAGTTTTTTTTTTTTACATCATATTTTAATTAAAAATTCAAAAAATTACTAAAAAAACATGTTCCCAAACGAGGCCTAAATCGTTGCTAAATTCATGAATATGCCCCAAAAATAAAAATAAAAATAAAAAATACTAATAACTCCTATTTTGCATTCAAGATTATTATTAATTTCTATTAAGTTTTATATTGGAGAACTAAGTTTTATTTTTTATAAAATATTCCTGAAAAATTCAATTCTTCATAATATAATGGTGTAATTTATTTTAATTCTGTCCTTCTCATTTAATATGGACAACAATTTCACGAACCGTTCTTTAATTGTAATAATTATGAATATTACAAAATCATAAGCAACAATGAGATTCACCAATTTTTTTATTTTTATTTTTTTTTATTTCAAATTATGAGAAAAAAAATTGTAACCAATTAAAAAAAATTATATTTTTTTAAAATTTTATCAATACAGCTCTGTAAAATAATATAGTAGGGAATTAATATATTTCTCAAAACGTGAAATAATTGATGAACACTATCCTTTTTTGTTTATGAAAAAATATTTAATTTCAACAACTAAAAAATATTTGAAAAAATTGTTGAAAAGTCCAATTTAAAGAGGGTATAAAGCATTAGGTCTAGTAAATATTTTTTATTAGTGAAAGATCTATTATTTGTTAAATAGTTTGGTGAGAAATCATTTTATTAGTTTTGAAGGACATTTTGTTTTAAATTATATCCCTTACTGTTGACCTATTTTTTATCTGTTGATTTTTTTAACTATCTGTTTAAATTACTTTCTATCTGTTCAAACTTGTACCTATCTGTTGAGTTTTTTTCCCTATCTGTTCAATTTTTCCCCTATCTGTTCAGAATATGTGAATTTCTCCTTTATCTATTTAAAATCTGTGAATTTTTCTGTCTATTTCTTTAAAACATGTCGTATTTTTTCCTATCTATTGAAATCTACCGGTTCAAAATTGAATAGATCCAATACAAATTCTTTAAAACCTATGTTTTTTAATCAATTGCAATATGTTTCATCACCATCATAATTAACATCAACAACAACAACAAACAACTAATTTGAATAACACGGTGATATCCAATCTAAATAATAATAATAATAATAACACAATGATATGATTATATACGAATAATATGTATCATCATGAGATGCTCATCATCATCAAAGATCGCGAAGGTGAGGAACATGAAGAAAAGTAGTCTCTTTGAGAGGCATCCAATGCCAAGCCACACCAGATCCAACCTCACTTTTCTTTTCCATCACCAAATCAAATGTCATCCTCAAAGAGACTGAGAAAAAAACGCACAAACACAATTATGAAAATATAGAACAGACAAAATATATAAAATATTATAAAATCTACAGCCGCTATAGTTGTAAATATCAACTTCAGTAGTTATAACATATAAAAAGTTGACGTAATTAATATCTCAAAGTAATTTTAATTCTATAGATTTGAGATATAAACCCTAATCACTATAGCCATAATGCTTTTTAGAAGTCAACATGGCAATTTCCCTATTTGTTTTTATTTTTTTTTGGAAAACATACAATTTTGTTTGATATATTGTTTCTAAAACTCTTTTAAAGAATTTTTTTTTCTTTCTAAAATCAACCGATTTTGGAGATGATTGGGTGCTATAAAAAGCTGAGGAAAAGCCTGAAGAAAACGATAATGGCTTTGGATCTCGCGGGCGTCGATGGTGAAGCGGCGAATCTGCACGAAGATCTGGAAGGTGTAAGCGATGGAGCTATGGTGGTAGTGGTGGTGGTGGTGGTGGTAGTGAATGTTGGAACAATCTTCAGTGTAAAACAAATAATAAAACTAAAACAAATAAAATACTATTACTTACAAAAAGTTCTTTGTTTTGGAAAAACCAGTAAGACTATGAGCAAATCGAGTGTGTGACACTCTGTCCTTAAAACAGATTCACTGCCACACAAGTGCTTACGAAGTATTGACGTCTATCTCTCAGGACACAATAATCATTTACACAGATTGTAGCAGCACTATAAACAATCTGTTAGGCAAACCAAACTTGTGTTTTGCAACTCTCTTAAAAAACTCTCTATGAACTAATATGAAGAACAATGTAGTACAAGAAGGAAAACATAAAGGAAAATTTTAAAATGAATGAATCTGCTAGAGGGACCTTGTATTTATAGGCCATATGGTGTCTGTTTGGAAGGGCAAATAACCCTTTGAACAGGTATGATCGGACTAAAGAAGAGAGGTGACTGGAGAGGCACTATTTCTAGGAAAAAATTTGAATTCAAATTTGGCGCAAGCGTTTGAATAGATCCGTTAGAATTTCAAATTTTTCTCGTAAGAATTTGAAAAAATTCAAATGAATTTTATCCAAAAACTTAAGCTAGAACTCGACTCGGCTAGATGGAAGGACGGCTATAGCGCGTGTGTGTGATGGATTTGGGTCCAGTCCACTTTGTCTATAACTCTCCTCTTTACAAAACTTGGGGGTGCCCCTTGGGGCCCAACCTAAATATGTCAACCTAAAGCTTATATACTAATATAAGTTCTCTTAAAGTTTCTATGTGGGACGCTCAAAATAAGTTAACCCATATTTGACTCTTCAACTTTCCATTTTACAAACCCGAAAACGACGTCAACTTTCATTCACTTATAAATGGTTTTGACGACCCAACTTCATCGTGTGACTTGCCATGCGACAAGAAACACGTCACCACTTGGACTCACCTCAAAAGACATATGAGCCCCACTTAAATTTGGGCTAAAAGATGATCCAAAATAAGCCTATACAAATCCCAAAAAAAAAAAAATAACAGTGAAGTCTAGAGAGAGATCGGTGACGGAGAGCTCCTTCCAAATCCTGGCCGCAAATGAACATTTTTGAGATGTGTATGGCATCGCTCTAATTTGAAGTTATACATTGTAAAAGACCACGTGGTCAATGCCAGGAGTGAGAGAGAAAGAGAAATTGAGGAGTGAGAGAAAGATAAACAAATAGACAGAGAGGTGTAGAGGGGTAGACAGCGGCAATCGACGCAATGGGGGTATTTTGGGTAGAGAGAGAGAGAGAATGTTAGGGTTTGTTTAGGTATAGAGCATATATATATATATATATGGGGTATTTTAGTTATTTTATTATGGACAAAGTATTTTTTGCCCAAATAAAATTTAAAATTTAATTTTTAAACCAAGTGTATAAAATATTTTAAATTTGAATTTTATCAAAATTATTTATAAATTTTTTGGTTCATATTTTAATAAGAATTGTAAAATTAGAATAAAATATAGAATTGCACATTTTGGGAATAATTTATGAAAGGTAAGACTTAGTTATCTCCCATGTTAAAACTTGATAAGATAAGATAATAATTTTCAAAACAGAATAGAATTTATTGATAATTTCTCTAGAAAAAAAAATCCAATCTAAAAACAAATTGCTTTTGTATTAATGTCTAATGCCGTCCTCTAATCCATAAATATTTACATTTTGGTCTAGTAATTATGTAATACCGGAGATTTCAAGTTTAATGTGATATCCCTTATAGTAGTAGTTTATTTCTTGGGTTTAGGTTTTGTTGACTATTACAGAGTTATATGTAGTTATTATTAATTATTAAGTTTAGATTTTGTTAACTTTTTAGTAATTAAAATATTTTTTATATTTATAATTATTTTCAATCGACATAAACAAAAAAAATATAAAAAAAAAAATAGAGGAACTTCTAGAAAATAATGGTGGGCCTGATCCTTATAAGTGCATAAATTATATATAAGTTAGGAACATCAAGTTTTCATGTTTACGACCAATGAAATATTATATTTTATTCATTATTTTTCTATTATCAGGATCATATATTTATTTAATCCTTTGTTATTGATTGGAAGCAATGTCAACATAAATAATTATTCTCGTAAGTGATTTAGGTCTTATTTGTTATGTCTTAAAAAAAATTAAAAAATCACTATCATATTATTAAGTCACATTACCTATCTATCATATCACTTCAAACTCAATTTACACTTAATTCATATTTCATAAAAATCAAAAAATATACTTATTTAGAATATCCTAACCAACCACTTAATCAAATCTAAAGACTTGTGAGTCTGTGATAAAAAAAATTATTAATTAATTTTAGAGTATCACCTAACTTTATTTACACTAGTTATAATTTACCATACTCTTAGCCTTCGTTTGGGAAGTGGGTTGACTTTTTAGTTTTTTGACTTTTTGATTATTTGAGCCTGGACTCAAAAGCTTGGTTTGGGAATGACTTTTTAACTTTTTGACTTTTTTGACTTTTTTTGTGAGAGAAGAGTGTAATGATTGTTGGTTGGATGTGATGTTTTGTCTGTCGTAGCTCAAATAGCCTATTCTATCTTTTGTGACTCAAAGAGGCAAAAGAATCCAAATGAGTCCTTCCCAAACGACACCTCATTCTTTTAAACCACCCAACATAAATTTATAAAGCCACCTCTATCATTAATCACAATGGCGGTGTTTGGCAAGTTAGATTTAGAAAATTTTTTGGCTAAAATTTATAAAAAGACAAAATAAGTTAAAATAGTTAATAATAAAATGCTACATTAAATTTATAATATTTTATTTTTACTCTCATAAATATCACATCCAACTACAAAAAAAAAAAATCAATCATTTTTCTAAATACAAATATTTTAACTTATTAAAATAATTAAAAATTAAAATAATCTACTAAAATAATCAATTTCCCAAACCGGCCTAATGATATTGAATGGCGGTGTTCCACGACCAACGTGATCAGTACGTCACCAATTCATATGTTGGATAAATACCCTCCTCCACAGCCGAAACACAAACTAACATCCCAACTCAATACAAGATCTGAAAGCAACGCAACTCGCGACTGGTGTCTGTCCGGTGAGTCTTCTCCTCTCCATCCCCCTTTCTTTTAATGCTTTTTAAAGGAAGAATCTTTGCCCTGTAAATTGGAATTTTTGTGCCCTAATTGATTTTGCTTTCGCCTCGATTTGTATCTTTGCCGAATGCGTTTATGGTACTTTTTTGGTGGTGTATGTCTGATTTCTCTGGTTAAAGTTCAAATCCCATTTTCCTTGTCTGTCAAATGCTCGATAAAATGTATCAATGATGGCCTACTGTGATTTTGTTTATTGGGTCCATTTTTTTTTTTTTTTTTTTAAACTTTTGGATCTTTGAGAATATAATTTAGGAGAACTTTGAATTCAAAAACAATTGTTAATGTCTTTTTCCATGCCCAATTATTTACACCGGAGACTTAGTTTCAATCATTTTTTTTTTTTTTTTTTTTTGCTTTGTCTTTCTAAACCCATTAAATTTTTATACAAATTGTTTTTCTAGTTTTGGTTCTTTCTTTGCTATTGTGTGTGTATGTGGTCTTTTTTACTGGAAGAGATTATATATGTATTTTTGAGTGTCTATGGTAAGAGATTATATATGAATAATATATGTATCACTTTGGAAATAGAGATTTGGGTTTATTTTGCCAGATGGCCTTTTTACTGGAAGAAGGGTTTGAAAACAGAGGGTTGTGATGAACCGGTCCGGCAGGCAAAAACTTTTTTCAAATTTTAGTTTCCGCGTCTAATTTATATATTTTTATGATCAATCACAATTGATTTATGTATAGAATGAAAATTCATGTTATATGCTATCTATTTTTGGTCATAGCCATGATCCTGATTTGTTTTGTTCCTTGTTCCAAAACAGTCATTTAAAAAAATAATGAATGTAAATAATATCCTATATGTATTTGATAATATAAAAAATTAAAAAAATCAGTGATTTAACTCAAAGAATTCTCAATAATCCTTCACTCTCTTTGCCTACAGAGGAGGTTTTTCAAAAGAAGAAAAGGAGAAAAGGCTTTTTTTGGGTCGTCATTTTGAAATTTGAATTGGCCTACACACAATGGTTATCCTCGAGTTTTACTGTTGCCCCTGTGGAAGTTGTGAGAAAATGCTGGTTGAATTTACAAAATTTTCTGAAGTCCAAGAAATAAACAGAGTTGCAGAATCAGATAAGGTGACCATTTCAATCACCGGTGATCCATCAAGAGTTAAAACAGTTCTTAAAAATAAAAGAAAACAAGTTTTGGAGCACTTTGAGCAAAACCCGACCATAAACAACCACAAAATGCAAATTGTATTACCACAGAATCCAGTTTCAGGAATTCGTGGCCAACATATGATACCACCACAGCCAGGTAAGCATCAAATATTCTATTTTGGTGATTGTAATTGAAGACTTTATCAATGCGGCTTACTTCTAAATGTTTTTGTATGAAGTTGACAAACCGACTGTGAAGAAATCTCAAGTTTGCTGCCCAAAGTGCAACCGTGAGCTCAAGTTGAAAAAGTCTAACAAACGGTTCACATGCGATGGATGTATGCAGGATGGATTTGGATCACGAAACCGATGCGAGGACTGCAATTATGACTTGCACCAGGAGTGCACGTCACCTGAACCTACCATTTCCCCCGAGTTTTTTCGAATAGTCATCTTTGAATTTTGTCGTCAACCAAAACAAAGTACAAGGTATTATTAGAATTTTTAGCAAACTCCAATACCATGGATGAAAATGAATTTGTTAGCACTGAAAGTATGATTTTGATTGTTTTTTGTGGGAACTTATTTCTCAATGTCTTTTGGGGCTTTCACCTAGATACCGGTCTGCTAGATAGCTTGTTAACAATTCAAATTACTTTTGTCTAGCAGGTCCTGTTATGCATGCGGAAAAAGTATACATGGCTATTTTTATCATTGCAAATCAAATCAATTGAATCTACATCCATGTTGTGCCAAACTCAAAATCAAATTATGTGGCATGGATTTTGTTCATCAAGATGAGGTGGTCTCATCATCATCATCATCGTCAGAGTGTATGTGGTGCAAGAAGCAAGCATCATCGAGTAGTACAAAATCGCACGATCCAGGTGGTTGTTCTTATGTTTGTACAAGAACCAAGTTTCATTTTCATGTGTATTGCATTACTGAAATGGTGCACGAAGCTTGGAAGAAAGGTGTTATCATTGATGACAGTACCAATGATATTTCTACGGCACTCAAAGAAATGGATTTGCTGTAAGATTTAATAATACATGTAACCATAATATTAATGCGGAATTAAACTTTACAGGATCTTGAATTCAATACAACTCAATAATAAAACGAATATACCTTTGTCAGCCATTGAATTAGGGAAGTTGAGAAAATACCCCTTCGAGTTGAACCTTTAGATTTTGGCTCACCTTCTTCTCTCTGTCTCTCTTAATTAGGATGACTATAAAACTTAAAGTGATGGGAAAATACTCATGATATGAAAGGGGAGTCACCCATCCTTATATAGAGGAGAGAAGAGGGCCAGGGTATGTTAATGGGATTAGTCTTTGTCTGTCTGTTTATTTTTATTTATTTTCTTTTCTTTTATTTTCTTTATCCTCATTATGTTCTTTTTTTGTTTGTTTGGATTTTCAACACATGTATTACCTGATATGGAATGGAAGTCAAACTGGTTAGTAGTCCATATCAGTCAAACTGGTTAGTAGGTTTCTCATATGTCATAACAACCCTTTCTATTTCATTCTACCGCTCATCAGTCCCATTTTTGCTTAATCTTTTATTCAAATTGGAAGGGAGAGCAGGTCCGAAGCATTTCTACAGACAGACGGTGTGCAGTTCGGGTCTTGTATCTTTGCCACGAGACTTATTTTGATGATTCAATTAATTTATTTTGCTATATATTGAAAGCAGTTATCGAATTAAGTTACATGTAGTTGAACACAAATACCAATTATTTACTATGATATTCACAGCAAGCTCTAAACCAAGTTCACATAAACCAGGGAAAAAAAAAAAAAAACCTTCAAAGTAAAATCTTCCATGGAATTGATACTTACTAATTATATTTGCTGTGAAGCAGTAGTTAATAGCCTCTCTTAGGAAGAGCTAAAGATGATAAAATTGACAACACAGCGGTGCACAAGAAACCAAGGAGGAGCAGGCTCGCAGCTGCGTTACCCTTATTGAAAAAGGGGTCAAGGCTGGAGCCATTCCCCTCCAGCACTGACTTCAAATCTATTGTTGCTCCAAAACCAGCTGCAGCACCGGTCACTAGAATGTAGGACATAAGCTGCTCAAAACAATTCTCTATAGTTTTTTACACAAAAAAGCAAAAAAAAAAAAAAAAAAAAAAAAAAAAAAACTGTGCGACAAGCAATCACCACCAAGGTGATTTTCCGTGCTCATTTGGTAGATAGTGAACAGAGTTTGCAGCGAAGTGTATGCAAGTCCGATCAGAATAGTGAAAAGCATATACCTGCAGTAGATTCATATGATTCCCAAATCAAATGATTCAGATTGGGGGCAGACTGTTATATTTTCTAGTAAATATGATAATTCATAAATCAAATTACAGTGTCAATATCTTTATAAAAAAAAAAAAAAGAAAGAAAAATTGTGGGTAAACTTGTATTTTTCAAATTGATAATCGAAATTGTTGTACCAAAATCCCTTACTTACTAGCATGACATGAACTAAATAGAAAATCTACAGCACTAATTAGTGACTCTATTCTAGTAATAAGATTGAGATAAGACTTCCAAGTTCTAAGAGACTTTTGAGTCATTAATTGTAGTCCTAAGATTCTCAAGAAAATGATAGAGAGATCAAATAGAATTTTGTGGTTAATTAGAGACATACTTGTAAGCATAAATATCACTAAATCTGATCTTGATCGTGGCGATATTGGTAGATAAGATGGCGTTGTTGGTGGCCAGGTGATCAGCGAAATTAACAAGAAAATGAACGTAAGAACTCTCAACATAAGAGTGACCACCAGCGAAACCACGGTGGAGGGTGGTGGCGCCATCTTCCTCCTCTCCTCTCAAGTCCAATTGTTTGCGTTTTTACATATCAAAGCTTGATGCAATTCTTCTTTAATTTGTAGCCAAATTTTTTTTTTAAAAAAAAATGAATAACATGGAGGGTTGACTTAGAAAATTATTTGGTCGGTCTGTTTAACTCATAGACACCACGACAATGAGGAGTAAATAAGAAAAAAAGGCTGTGTTGGATTTATTTATTTATTTATTTTTGAGTTCATAATTCTATAAACACAAAATTGACAACATAATCAATCATAGAAAAAAATTTGAAATTATGTGAATTGGTAATCTCTTTAGCCGCTGTTCCTAACCTAACGTATATGATTAGAATTATTTTATATGATTGATTATATATATTTGTAGAATAGCTTCTTATTTCTTTTTTTCTTTTTTTTTTTCCATTCTCAATACATTAGTACTATTAATAATATATTTTTTAATAGTCTAAATCATTGTTGTAATTGAAATTATCCAAATTTCCTCATGCTGATCGATCAGCCAATCATCCGAATGATAAAGAGAGGACCGCAATAAATGAAAATAGGACGGCTACGGTAAATAAGATTGACCATAGAAAATTCGATTAATAAATCATTTAACAAAAAAACAAAAAATTAATTCAACTGGGACCCGTTTGTAAACCCTATGAATACGGAACTAACCAACAATATTCTCTATTTATTAATTTTGAGTTATTTAATTATCATTAATTCAATCACAATTTTAATGAGATCACTATTTTATGATTTTTAAAATTTCTTTTATGTGATTGCTATTACCAATATAAAAATAATAACTCTGGATGAACAGTAATATTTATATGTGTATTATAACAATCATGAATATCTAAAATAATGGTTAATAAGAATTACACCTAATATGAATTAACCACTTTAATATTTAATATTCAATGTCATAAAATTATATCATGATATCAATTTTAAATCATGAAAATATATAAATATTTAACAATAATAGACAATAAGTGTACATAATTAAACAAAGCAAAAACATAATTCTCTAATGTGATACAATCAAATAAATATATTTATTTAATAGTCCGAACGATTCAACAAAATTCTAAAATTGCTTTTAATCTATGCACTTTATTATAACGGCAAGCAATACACTCAATTCAATAACATATTATGATGATTATAAAAATTATTATCACTAAAATTGATAATAAATCAAAACATGCATATGAACAGCATATAGAATTACATAAAAGTTTGCACCTAACATATCACAAAACAAAGTGAGTGAGAGAGTCCATGATGTGCATACTTAGTTACGATTTAGAAATCAGGAATGAAATCTTCTTTCACACAACCTTTGACTTTTAACAACACAAAAAGAGTTTCTTTGATGCATAATGAATATGAAAGAGATTATATGTACCATTCAGATATTGCCTAATAAATATGGCATGCAGCGTACAAGGTTGAACATACAGCGTATATTCAAGATAACCAACACATGCCGAGAGTTCAAACCTTATAATAAAAAAAAAAAATGTTGTTATGAATAATTATAATTATAATATAATAACAATATTCATAAATATATTATTATTCCAAGGTGTATTGATTCACAAACTAAAGCTCTGATACCACATGTAAGATTTAATAATACATGTAACTATAATAATAATGCGGAATTAAACTTTACAGGATCTTGAATTCAATACAACTCAAGAATAAAACGAATATACCTTTGTCAGCCATTGAATTAGAGAAGTTGAGAAAATACCCCTTAGAGTTGAACCTTTAGATTTTGGCTCACCTTCTTCTCTCTGTCTCTCTTAATTAGGATGACTATAAAACTTAAATTGATGGAAAAATACTCATGATATGAAAGGGGAGTCACCCATCCTTATATAGAGGAGAGAAGAGGGTCAGATAAATTCTATCAGAAGAATTCCTAATCCATCAAGGTTTCCTTCTTGTGGTTGTTCTTATGTTTGTACAAGAACCAAGTTTCATTTTCATGTGTATTGCATAACTGAAATGGTGCACGAAGCTTGGAAGAAAGGTGTTATCATTGATGACAGTACCAATGATATTTCTACGGCACTCAAAGAAATGGATTTGCAGCTTATGATGCCCAACTCAGACAAAAGTACTGTTAATGGCATTATTGAGACTTTGAAGACAGTAAGCCCATTTGTAGCAGCAATAGTAAGTATAATTTCCGGCGATACATTAGGAATTGTAGTGCCGCTTCTGGAAATCTTAGTCCAGTTAAATTCATAAATCCTGAAAATATGTATGAGTCAAGGTATGTTAATGGGATTAGTCTTTGTCTGTCTGTTTATTTTTATTTATTTTATTTTCTTTTATTTTCTTAATCCTCATTATGTTCTTTTTTTGTTTGTTTGTGTACGGGAAAGAAATATACTTTCTCGTATAATCCTGTTGACCAAGTCTGCGCTCCTCCGTACGTCGTCACTTTATCACCTGAAAACACAAACGTGAGCTAGCCGGCGGGTGTGTGCCGGAAACCTCTCCGATGCCTAAGTCAGTAACCTTGACAAATAGACAAAACTCTGTGTATTCAGAAAGCAAAATTGTGTGTTTCCTCTCCAAAGGTGATATTTATGAGCTTTTATAGGTTTTGTGCGGCACAATCCTAGTAGGACTTCTATTCTTCCATGCAGAGTCCTCCTAGGATTCATACTCCTGAAAGATAATGCTTATCCTTCAACACCCCCCTCACTGCTTAAACCAAGTGAGATGGTTATTACCATGGCCGAAATCCCATATGACTAAAGTACCCACGGCTATGCTGAGCCACAGAGTAAGCCGTATTATCATTAGTTCGGTTCTTCCGCTCGTTACTTATCTTAGTTCTCTCATGCACGACCCATGGTGTGTTTAAACCGAGCTACCAAGTAACAAGGTTCTAGCTGTTTTAGCCATAATATGCCATGACCGGACTACCTCTAAGACCGGCCTAACTTCAAGTCGCTGCCGGACCGGAGTGTCTTTACATTTATCTTGGGCCGGAGTAACTTTATACCTCTATTGGGCCGGAGTAACTTTATACCTCTATTGGGCCGGAGTAACTTTACGACCTCTATTGGGCCGGAGTAACTTTATCTCTCTTGGGCCGGAGTAACTTTTCGGCCTTTTTACCCAATCTTTCGTACTTTAGGCCATAAAGTCCATCTCATAACTCGGCCTAATTTTCACCAAAATTACCCTCTCAGTTTGGATCTTCAACACATGTATTACCTGATATGGAATGGAAGTCAAAATGGTTAGTAGGTTTCTCATATGTCATAACAACCCTTTCTATTTCATTCTACCGCTCATCAGTCCCATTTTTGCTTAATCTTTTATTCAAATTGGAAGGGAGAGCATGTCCGAAGCATTTCTACAAACAGACGGTGTGCAATTCGGGTCTTGTATCTTTACCACGAGACTTATTTTGATGATTCAATTAATTTATTTTGCTATATATTGAAAGCAGTTATCGAATTAAGTTACATGTAGTTGAACACAAATACCCATTATTTACTATGATATTCACAGCAAGCTCTAAACCAAGTTCACATAAACCAGGGAAAAAAAAAAAAAAACCTTCAAAGTAAAATCTTCCATGGAATTGATACTTACTAATTATATTTGCTGTGAAGCAGTAGTTAATAGCCTCTCTTAGGAAGAGCTAAAGATGATAAAATTGACAACACAGCGGTGCCCAAGAAACCAAGGAGGAGCAGGCTCGCAGCTGCGTTACCCTTATTGAAAAAGGGGTCAAGGCTGGAGCCATTCCCCTCCAGCACTGACTTCAAATCTATTGTTGCTCCAAAACCAGCTGCAGCACCTGTCACTAGAATGTAGGACATAAGCTGCTCAAAACAATTCTCTATAGTTTTTTTCACAAAAAACCAAAAAAAAAAAAAAAAAAAAAACGGGGGGAAAAAAAATGCTAGGAGAGTATCCCAGGTGCTCATTTGGTAGATAGTGAACAGAGTTTGCAGCAAAGTGTATGCAAGTCCGATCAGAATAGTGAAAAGCATATACCTGCAGTAGATTCATATGATTCCCAAATCAAATGATTAGATTGGGGGCAGACTATTATATTTTCTAGTAAATATGATAATTCATAAATCAAATTATAGTGTCAATATCTTTATAAAAAAAAAAAAAAGAAAAGAAAAGAAAAATTGTGGGTAATGTATTTTTCAAATTGATAATCGAAATTGTTGTACCAAAATCCCTTACTAGCATGACATGAGCTAAATAGAAAATTTACAGATCGAACACTAATTAATAACTCTATTCTAGTAATAAGATTGAGATAAGACTTCCAAGTTCTAAGAGACTTTTGAGTCATTAATTGTAGTCCTAAGATTCTCAAGAAAATGATAGAGAGATCAAATAGAATTTTGTGGTTAATTAGAGACATACTTGTAAGCATAAATATCACTAAATCTGATCTTGATCGTGGCGATATTGGTAGATAAGATGGCGTTGTTGGTGGCCAGGTGATCAGCGAAATTAACAAGAAAATGAACGTAAGAACTCTCAACATAAGAGTGACCACCAGCGAAACCACGGTGGAGGGTGGTGGCGCCATCTTCCTCCTCTCCTCTCAAGTCCAATTGTTTGCGTTTTTACATATCAAAGCTTGATGCAATTCTTCTTTAATTTGTAGCCAAATTTTTTTTTTAAAAAAAAATGAATAACATGGAGGGTTGACTTAGAAAATTATTTGGTCGGTCTGTTTAACTCATAGACACCACGACAATGAGGAGTAAATAAGAAAAAAAGGCTGTGTTGGATTTATTTATTTATTTATTTTTGAGTTCATAATTCTATAAACACAAAATTGACAACATAATCAATCATAGAAAAAAATTTGAAATTATGTGAATTGGTAATCTCTTTAGCCGCTGTTCCTAACCTAACGTATATGATTAGAATTATTTTATATGATTGATTATATATATTTGTAGAATAGCTTCTTATTTCTTTTTTCTTTTTTTCTTTTTTTTTTAAATGGATTTTTATTGACTTTTCCTAGGACTTGTTATTTTTGCTATTTTTTTTTGCGTGGGCCAATTGGGGGTAATTTTTTTCTTTTTTTTTTTGAACAAAAATAGGATGTTGTGATGTGTCATCATGGCATCCGTGGGCTCAGGTCTCGAGATAGCTAGTTGCCAACCAGATTTAACTCAACTCATAGGAACAGACCCACCACTGAGACACCAGTGGAGCTCATTGACCACTCCTAACAGGGCCAAGTTTCGATCGGAATACAATGTAAGATCTTTGCAGAGAATCGCTGAAAATTACTCAACATTTTGCGCCCCTAGAAGTCGAACTTGACTCTCTACTGGGAAAGGCCAATGCCTTTACTACTGGGCCACCACTCTTGGTGGTCAATTGGGGGTAAATCAAACTTAATTTTTTGTAATTTTTTTTTATTAAAATTCACTTTAATAACCCTACTTTCAATTTTAATAATCAATCTTTTATACTTAAGTCAAGTTTTAATATCATTTTTCTAACGTTAATGAGATTGACCAAAATACAAGGTAAAAATATATATATATATATATATATATTAGTAATGAAACATTAGAATGCTATCTATGTTATATATCGGTGTACCAAACATAAATAAATTTAAGTTTCATTAAAACACGAACTAATATACCAACAAATATTTAGTTGTTTAATACGATAATATTCACAACAAACTTTGAACCAAATTCACATTAACCATTGAAAAGAAACAAAAAATAAAAATAAAAATTTCAAAGTAATCTTCCATCGAATTGATATTTTCATAACATCACGATCTGCAATAGTAAATTTTTTTTTTTAGTAATTAAGTATCTTGATCAACTTGGCAACAATAGTTAATAACCTCTCTTCGGAAGAGAAACATCATTTGACAACACTGCGGCGCACAAGAAACCAAGGAGGAGGAGGCTAGCGGCGGCTTTTCCCTTGTTGAAAAATTGGTCAAAGCTGGAGCTAGTCTCCTCAAACACTGACTTCAAATCTACTGTTGCCCCGAAACCTGCAGCAGCACCGGTGGCTAGAATGTAGGACATAACCTACTTGAGCAATTATAATTAAAATTAGGTTTGAATGACATAAATTTTGATAGAAATAGGATTCTCATTAATAATAATTAAATTTTCGTGTGAAAACTATTCAAATGTCTGGTTTCGAATCTCCATGAAAAAATGACAAAAAAATTGAAGTTAGTTAGGTTTCATTTGGGAAGTAGGGTTGAGTTGGGTTTGGAATTATTTTAATTATAAAACGACAAAATATATTTTTTAATTCAAAAAGACTAAATATCAAATCCATAATCATTACATTATTTCTTTCACAAAAAGTTTAAAAAGTCAAAAAATTCTTCTCAAATAAGATTTTTTTAGTCCCAGGCTAAAAAAATCAAAAAATCAACCCACTTTCCAAACAAACCCTTAAACAAATTAAAAAAAAAAATACAAGTTTAGGCATGCATTAGGATAAATTTAAATAACAAGAATATTGTGGAGAATAAGATCTGTATTATTAAGAATCCCATTACTAATAATAAAATTATGAGTAAATTATAAATACATTTTTTTAGATTTGTTTAAAATATGAATTGTTCTTTGTGATTTTAAAAATTACATCATGCCCTCTGAAGTTTAAAATTTTATAACAAATTGCTTCTTTTATTAAGAAATTATCAAGTTAATTAACAAATTATAATGACAGCAAAAATTTATTTCAATAAAAATTCAAATAATTTTATTATTTAATAGGAGAATAGTTAAGAATTTCATTTTTCAATTAACTTTATTAAATAAAAAATTTCAACAAGGGATTATTTGTACTTTTTCAAATCATATGGGGTAATTCGTATTTTAAACAAATCTCTCAAGAGATATATTTGTAATTTATCCTAAAATTAGAGTAGTGCTATTTACCTCTATCTTTTTTTTTTTTGAAGACCCCCCACATCTTTTATTTTGAGGGCTGCTACCTATCTTATTTCTTTGGACCTCCCTCTCTTTCTTTTCTTTTTTTTTTCTTTTTTTTTTCTAATTCCAATTTTTTCAAAGATAAAATTCTATTTCTACCATTATCTCTAACCCTCTAACCCTAATTTTTCAGACCCTAGCCCTAATTCTATCACATCCAATTTCACCTTCAACACTGGCCGTCCAACTACTGCCATCAACGCAACATCGCCATCACCCCCAACCACCGCCATTATTGCAGCACTACCGTTCACCCTCTTCCTCCTTCTTCTTTCTCCTAATTTTCTCCTAAAACCCTAGATCGAACCCCACCGTTACGACAATCTCTCTCTCTCTAACCACCCAAACCTATTTACATACTATATTTTACAATTAAGCTTTGTAGCTCTATAATAAAGCTAAATTACAAATCAGTTGGTAATTTTTCACTCTGTTTTGGTTTTATTTTCAGGTAGAGCATGTGGGTTTTATTTTCGGTTGCTTTTCACTAGTAACTCTCTCTCTCATCTCTCTCTTTCTTTTTTTCTCTCTATCTCTCTCTTACTCTATTTTGCTCAGTCTTTGTTTGTTTGGGTTTGGTGGGTCATGCATGCTCTATTAGTAATGGGTTGTGGGTCTAAAAACCCTAGGTCTAAGGTTAGGGTTTCAAGAGAGATAGAAAAAAATGAACGGCTAGCGATGAAGGTGATAGAAAGGTAGACGGGCGACGTTGTGGCGGTGAGGTGGTGACGTCGATAAGTGAAGGGTGTCGACAGCAAGAGCTGCTGGCAAGGGAAAGAAAGAAGAGAAATTGGGTCCAAAAGAAAAAGGATTTAATTGGAATTAAGATGAAGGTTCAAAGAGAAAATGGAGGGAACTCATTTAGTTGGATAGGGATTCAAAGAAGTGGAAAATCTAAAGAAATTAGGTAGGTGCTAATCGCAACCCTTTTTATTTATTTATTTTTAATTCTAATTTTGTCTAAAGATAAAATTCTATTTTTATCCCCATCCCTAACTTTCTAACCCTAATTTTTCCAAACCTTAACCCTAATCCCACCAACCATCTCCATTACCTTAACACCGGCCGCCTCCTTTCATTTCAATCAACAACCTCCACTACTATCACCAACTTGACGTCTAGCCACTAACACCTCCACCCTTACTCACTAAGTACCAACAATGCCACCACCAATACCACTCTTAGACTCTCTTTCTTTTTCTTTATCTTTATCTATCTATTTCTCACCAGATCGCAATCGCAATCACAAAAGATCAGTGATGGTGGCAAATCTACTCTCCTTGCACGATTGTCATGACTGTAATGCTGCTTGCGATTTCCCCATATTCTGTTTGGTAGTTCAGGGCTAAACCACAACCGTTTGTTCAGTGGTCTACAACCAAGCTACCACCGTTTGTTCAGTGGTTTTGTTCGGTGGTTTACATCCAAACTTTCACCATATATTCCGTACTGGTTTTCCGAACCAAGCGAGACGATTTCAAATGAAGAAAAATCGAACATGAGCATGTGAAAAAGGGATCTAGGGTAGTTTTATGGGTAGTAGTAATGACAAATGGCTGAAATTAGTGTAATAAGATATTTGGGTAAAAGAAACGAAGTGGAGGATTGTCGGTGGAAGAATGAGAAGGAAAATGGAGCTAGGGAGGTGGGTCATTAGAAAAGAAAAGTCGCCGATGAAGGAGGAGACTGAATGAAGGTCTCTAATTAAGGAGAAGGGTTGTGCGAGGGTTGCCGGTGAGAAAAAGTGGTTGCTAGAGGTAGGAGGAGATTGTTGATTAAAAAGTGTTAAGAGAAGAGTTTAAAGAATATATTTGACATTATGAAAGGAGTCCAAAGAAAAATAAGAAAAGAAACAATTTTGGTGATAAGAATTCAAAAAAATAAAAGATCCTAAGAAAAAAAAAGTAGAAGCATTTAGCAATTTCATAAAATTATTGTGTCAATTTGTTCAAACATTGTTGTCACTTGTTAATCTTACCAGTCAGATTTGACTAGTCATCCAAGATTAGCTAAACATAAAATTCTATTTATTATTGAAAAATATTATGATTTCAAATAATTTATTAAATATTTTTATCAAACTTTTTACATGGGTGAGGGATTCATACAAATCCACATATGTGTAGGTTTCATACCTATGTGAGAAGTTTGGTAAAAAATTCGATAAATTATTTGAGATGACTAGCATAACTCTTTATTATTTTATTGGTGTCCTTTCTCTCTCCCCCTCTTCTAACATTTCTTGGATGGTGTAAATTTTAAAAAAAAAAAATGAGTTGGACTTGCAAAAAATAACTACTAACGCATGGAAAAATTATTGGTTGATCCTGATCAATCACAAATTTTTATATCCTCTTATATTTTTCAATTACTCAATTATAAAATCGTGAATTTTATTTCTTCCACCAATCATAATATATGTAGAGCGTCATCCACATGACACTGTCCTAACTCTAGGGGTGTAAATCTGGCTCGGTCGGACCGGCCCACGAGTCAAAAAATTAGGCCCAGGCCCAGGGGTATTTTGGGCCTTGGGCGGGCCTAACTATTTTTTTTGTTTTTTTAAATTTTTTCTACCAAAATTTTATTATTTTTCACTAAAAAAAGACACCAAGCCTCAGGCGAGTTAGGCCTCGAGTAGTCCTTAAGCGGGGACGATGAGCTGGGTCGGACTTCAAAATGATGGCCTAAGCACATTTTGGTTGGCTTTTGTTTTCAAAAACAGATATATATGTAACAATACAGAAGCTTACAATTTCTACTACTACTACTTTATTTATGGTTTTGGTAGTTTGAATTATTTTTTATATTTTAAGAACCACATATTGTAATACTTTATGTGGATGAGACATGATATGATTGTAATATGTGGATAAGGCATGTAGTTGTAATATTCTAAAATTTTAACTTTTTTTATTTGGATGAAGCATGCACTGATTGTAATACTTTTTTAAGTCATTGACTGTAATATTTTTTTTATTTTTTTGGTTTTTTAAGGAAGTGCACAAATTGAATTATGTTAAAAATTTATAAAATTTTAAACCACCAAACCGATTCACATCCATTCGCCAATCCGCCAATCACTTCAATTCACATTTGCCGGATTGGCGGACAGATGCGAATTGATTTTTTCCAATTCGCCAATTTGACGAACAGATGGCGAATTAAAAATTTCATAGCTACAATCGACCCGCGCCCACCCCTATTAATTATACAAGATTAGCTAAACAAAAAATTCTAATTTTCTTGGTCTCCTTCATTCTCTCTCCCCGTCTTCCAACATTTCTTGGATGGTGTAAATTGAAAAAAAAAAAAAAAAAGCTGGATTTGCAAAAAATAACTACTAATGTATGTGAGAGAAAGAGGGATAACATTGTAATATAGCAGTTACATGAAATATTTTCTTAAAAAGATAATACCTTGTCGGCGTAGAAATCAAACTGAAAAAGGCGATCACCACTGAGGCGATTTCCGGTGCTCAGTTGGTAGATGGTGAACACAGTTTGCAGCAAAGTGTATGCAATTCCCATCACAATAGTTGCAAGCATATACCTGCAGTGCACTCATATGATTGCCAAATCAAATGGTTCAGATTGGGGCAGACTATTATATTTTCTACTAAATGATATTTTCACTATGAAATTAGGATTGTAACTCAGTCAGGTTTAAGGTTTGTTCAAACTCAATTCATCCAAACTGTAGAGAGATTTATCCAAGACTAGACTGAGCCCGATCTAACTTGCCTAAGCTGAAGTTCGTGTTTATTTGAAATAGTTTGGTTTGGGCTCAAGTTACTTGAATTCAACACAAATTATTTTGAGTTGAGCATTGGATTGTCCTAGACCAATATATTGCACTTTCGATGAAAAAGAAAAAAGAAAAAAAAGAAAAAAGAAAAAAACTGATTTGAGTTATGTACCAAACAATAAAATTGATTAATGTTTTTTTCTTTGAGTTATGTACCAAACAGTAAAATTGATTAAATCAGTTTTTTTTTTTTTTTCTTCTTCTTCTTTAATTATATTAATAACAAAATTCAGATTGTTCGGATACCATCATACCTCAGACTCTGGCCCAATTAGATCTACAAAGTCTTAAAATTTTACGTGTTAAACTTGAATTGTTGAGTTGAACATGCCCGAATTGCACTCTTATGATTAATAATCGAAATTCTTGTACCAAAATCCCTTACTAGCCTCACATGAACTATGTAGGAAAATTTACAGATTAAACATTAATAACTCTATTGTAGTAATAAGATTGAGAAATCATTTCCAAGAGACTTTTTAGTGATTAATTGTAGTCCTGAGAATCTCAAGAATATGACAGAGAGATCAGGAAGAAATTTTAGGATAACTAGACTTTTTAGTCATTAATTGTAGTCCTAAGAATTTCAAGAAAATGACAGAGACATCAAGAAGAAAATTTAGGATAATTAGAGACATACCGATATGCATAAACATCATTAAATCGGATCTTGAATGTAGACAAACTGATAGATAAGGTGGCGGTGTTGGTGGTGAGGATGATCAGCGAAATTAATAAGAAAACGAATGTAAGAACTCTCAATAGAAGAGTGACCACCGGTGAAACCACGGTGGAGTGTGGTGGTGCCATCTTCCTCCTCCTCTCAAGCCTAATTGTTTGCTTTTACAGATCAAAGTGTCATGCAATTCTTCTTCTTTAATTTATAGCCAAAAAATAATAAATAAATAAATAAATAAAAATGAATACGTTGTGCCATAGTTGACTTTGGACTCATTTCCTACTGTCTCGCATGGAGGGTTGACTTAGAAAATTATCGGGTTGATCTGTTTAACTCATAGACACCACGACAACGAGGAATAAGAAAAAGCCTTTTTTTTTTTTTTTTTTTCAAAAGCCTTCCCCAGTCTTGAATAGCCGTAATCACACTTTGATTCTATATTAAATTAGGATTTTGTAGTACTGACTTTTTGACTTTTTGTCTTTTTTCAATCTTCCCAAACTAGGCCTAAATTAGGATTTTGTAGTACTCCTACGAAATGAGATGTCATTAGCTGTCAAACAATCCTAATTTTATTCCTTCATTTTCATTTTATTTATATATTTTTTTTATAGAAATAATAGTTTAATTATCCCATAATGGTAATATTTGCAGGAACTTCAACTCTTGGCCTCAAGAATGAAGTTAGGATTCTTTCATTGGAGTAGACCGGAGGAGCACATAGGGTAGCTATTGTGTGGGTGGATAGTAGTTTGGGTCAAGTTTAAACAAATTAAATAATTATTAAATATTACTCAATATAGACTAATTGGTCTAATTAAAAACAATAGTAGATTGGTTTAAGTTTAGACATGTTATCCAATTTTCATAAACTTATGTAATTATTTAGATATTACTCAATATGCTTAGTCTCTTAAACCTTCCCAAATGGTCTAATTAAAAAAACTACAGAAATCCATCAAAAAAAAAAAAACAAAAAAACAAAAAGCCCCTGAAATATCTTTTCTCTAGCAGAATTAAAATCCTTTTAGAAAAAGTTTCTTTTTTAAAAAATAAATAAATAAATTGATTTCACACAAATCAAATATTCTTTGTTTATGGTAATGTTTTTTTTCTAACAGGATGTTAAATTAAATTTTTGGGGAGTCATTAAATGGTGTACAAATTTTTTTAAAAGACCACACTATAAATATGGATTTTATTCAAAAATTTGATAGGTCAAGATTTATTTTGAGAAGTTCTAAATAAGTTTTTATTTATTTATTTATTGTAAAGAAAGTATAAAATATAGAAAGATGATATAATTTAAAGAAATTAAAAAATTAACTTATAAGTCATTTTCCAAAATAGGCCTAGGTTCTCTAATCCATCAACCAAGTGCTAACATTGGACCACATTTTTTTGTATAAGTTTGGACCACATTGTTTTCGTTTTTTCAAGTTGCTTAAAATTTTGGGCCGGGGCTCAGCCCCTTTCTGGTCATATACTTCTAATCTTCTTCAAAGTATTCAACTATGGGGTTTTTTGAAAAAATGGTTAAAAATTAATTTTTGGTTTTTAATTAAATTTTTTGGCTTTTTTAGAAAATCAATTGGGAAGTTGATAAAAAGTTGCTTTTTGATTTTTTTTATTAATATTTGTTTATGTTGTCATATCATATTCAAATGACCAAAATACCTATACCCAAAGGATTTTGCCCTAACCCACAAATGTAAACATGGAAGGTATAATTGTAATTTCACAGGTAGATTTTAGCTACCTTCCCAAATGATTTTGATAGCGGTTTTGGCAAGCTGCAAAACGCAACTTTTAATTTTCTTCCCAAATGGCCCCTATATATTTATTATAAGCATTGTTATTTAAGTTAAAAAATTACACTCAATTTTCAATTATATATTTCCTAATTATTAATTAAATATATCACTAACATATCATTAGATGTAAAAAATGAGTTTAAAAAGTGAATTTGTATACTATCTTCTTTATAGATTTTATTGTGAGAGCTTTTAATAATCATGTTTGGTTGAATTTTTAAAACTTATATTCTATATTTAAAATAAATAAATAAAAAATTAGTTTGGTAGAAAAAAAATACAAAAAAAAAGGTAAATTACGGTTCAATCCTATGTGATGGTCTTAAAATACTTATTTCGTCCCAACACTTTTTGAATATATTGATAAGTGAAAAAATGAGCAGAACTTAGAATTGGCTTGTAAGTCTTCCAAAAAATAAAGAAAAAAAAATCTATCATTTTCATATGTTTTTCTTATTTTTGGGGTAAAATAATTTTCAAAAAATCATCAAGTTAGTATTTATTTAAAAAAAAAAAATAGATTCTAAAATTTTAACCAAGCAAAATGTACATCTCTAAGATAGTGGGTAGCATATGGGGGAAGTTATTCATTTAGGTACTTTTTAGAATAATATTATGATAATTATATTTTCTTTATTATGTGACGAATTCTTATTATATTAATAATAATTAAAGAGATGGTCAATTTTATTATTTATAATAAATTCTCTGTATGCTCTTTCATGTATATTATATTAAATTATTAATTATTAACTGTTTTAAAAATTAGGGCATGTTTGTTTGAGCGGACTTGATTAGGTTGAATTAACATTCCCTTGACTAATAATCATAGAATTACGAATCCCTTTGGATTATATATCTTACCCTATGTTTGAATTGAGTTGAGATTATAAGGAGAGACTTTAGTCCTTCAATTTATATCTCACCCCCCTCTGTGGGTGGGATTGAATAGTCTATCATATGTGAGATACCATATCTGGATGGATTATTAGTTTGTACTTCAATTGTTTAACCAAATATCATATTAATAATTTTATTGAACTATTAGTCCAATCCTAAGCTCATGTCTACTCAAACAAATATGGCCTTAAATTATTAAATGATGACACAACTTTATTAGTTATATTACATTCTCAACAATCAAATAAAGCTAAATAATTATTTACTTATATATATATATATATATATATATTGTTTTGGTACTATAAAATAACGGAAATGAGCCGTAGCTCGAATCCAATGGCTCGAATTGGCTCGAAAGAGGGAGAGAAGAGAGGAGGAAGAAGCAGAGGAGAAAGAGTGAGAAAAGAGAGGAGGAAGAACAGAGGAGAAAGAGGGAGAGAGGATCGTCGCTGTTCGCCTCGCCACCGCCACCGCCGTCGCCTCGCTATCGCCGATCGTCGCAGCACTATCGCCGATCGTCGCAGCACCAGCGATCGCCGGCTCTGCCTCGCCTCCGCCCCCCGGCCCCCGCTTCCAGCCCCAAATGTTGGGCCCCCTCCAGTCCCTCCTCCTTCCTCCTTCCTCCTCCTCCTCTCCTCCTCCTCCTCCCTCCCCTGCTTCTGGTTCTGCTTCACCCTCATCTAAAAAACGAGGCCGTTTTTGAATTCGAGCCATTTCGATCCGCTTGATTTTGAGCTACGTATCACTGTCGATAAAATAATTACTCAGTCATGCATCGGATAATTTATTTGCCATTATATTTGGATCAAAAGTGTAATGATTTGGCCACCATACTCCCTAATCCTATCAAACTAAAAGTTAGTGATTTAGGCAACATTTGCAACTTGTTGCTCAATTAGATGCCAATTTTGTCACAATCACAAGGTTGTAAATCAATATGTTATATTATTAAAAGTTACCATATTAATGTCGGTAATTTGGTTCGTAATCTTAGTGGATGCTATTGGGGACCAATCTATTAGCATGATTAGCGTGAGAGGACCATTCAACCTTTATCCCTTTTTAGGACATCATCAAAACATCAGTCTTGAAAAATGAGATTAACTCTTTTAACTCTTATTAGTGACTTGTTTTCCTAACTATAATTCTCAAAATTATGCATTATAAAATTTGACCAACAACTTAAAACCATGGATGGGTGGGTTTTCTTTTTCTTTTCCTTGTTTCTCTCTCTTAGAGAGAGAGAGAGAGAGAGAGAGTGAGTGAGTGTGGAGTTATCAATATATATGACAAAAATTAATATCAACAAAACCATTTGGATGTAAATGTTTACTCTTTTTTTTTTAATGAAATTTTTATTTTGTCCTATTAACACATGAATTGGTATTCTCAACACAGTAGTAATAAGATTCAATGAAAATTTATACACACACAAAAGAAAACATTTATTTTTTTTCATTTGTTAAAGTAATGATTTACAAATTAACAATACTACCTCTCTTAATTTATCACCCTTAAATGACCCCTAATGATATGGCATTGATGTTAAACCCCACATGATAAAATATTTGACAAATTAAAATTTAATACTTATCAAATACATCATTAAAAATATTTTTTTAAAGTGATAAATAAAATGTCTCAAAAAATTTTCCATACCAAACACTCGAACCATTATTTGCCAATGTTTTGTTGTGATGTGTGGTTTTCAACTCCAATAAATAAACACTAATGTTATATTTTTCCCGTCTTTTTACACTATATTTATATATTATCACATAATCACAATCATTATATATTAGAGAAATGCTCCATCCCCATTTCATCACCCCCAATTTTTTTTTTTGATCGGCAAACAAAAACTTTATTGATGGAAAGGGAAAATTACATCAATAAAGAGGAGCTTGGAGCTAAAGCAAGCTCCAACCTCCTAGTTGGTGAGAAACCAACGCGCAAAACAAAGCGAAAAAAAAACAGAAAAATAAATCAGACAGATCAGTCAGCCAAGAAGTGGAAAAAAAACAACCAAGACTAGGGACGACACACACAGCTAATAGAAACCAAGTGGACAGCAGAGCAAACAGAGCAGCTAGGAGATAACTGCTGCAAAGCAACCAGCAGAATGCCTCAACAAACCCCGTCGCAGTAAGCCCTCCAAACACCAGCAGTGCACAATTCTGTAGAATACAACTGAAACAAGCCGAAGTATACTTCCCAAACACACCAGCAGAACAAGTATACTTCACTGAACCGAGCAGCATACAATCAGAGACAGAGCAAAATTTAGCAGGACCTCGCAGAACTGTTGCTTTGAGGCAGTACTGCTGCAACCAAAAGAAAAACTCCAGACCTTCAACCTACTCCTCTCCGACAAAACTTGATTTGTTGAAAGTTATACAAAAAATCATTGACCGAAAAGGGCAGCTTCACATCAGCCGCTCGAATCCACATAGCAGTCCTGGTTTTGATTAAATCACACAGACTAAACAGGTCAGGTTGCACCTCAGAAAACAACACCTCATTCCTGTGTTTCCAAATAGACCACAAGGTAGCAATAGGTATCACATTCCATACGTTTCTCTCAAAGCTATTGCCTGAAAAACCAGCCCAAAATTGTAAAACTCCATCCACTATTGCTGGCATGACCCACTGAGATCTCCACCATAAAAATATATCAGCCCACACCCGCCAAACAAAGGGACACCACAACAAAACATGATTAACCGACTCCGCTTCAGCTTTGCAAAACACACATTGAGTATTAGCAGCAGCCGGAATGACACCAATCCGTTGTAGGTAAGAGGACGTTTTTAACCTTTGCCGCCAAGCCAACCACACGAAAGCTTTTGCTCTAGGGATAGATACGTTCTGCCAAATCATCTTAGAGATTGTACCAAAATCTATAGATTGTAGGCTGTGTTCACACCACCTATACACAGATGATACATTGAAACACCCCGATTTTTCAGCCCCCCAACATAACACATCAACCTTATCAACTCTTAACTCCGGAGTGTTATTTACCAAATTGACCAAACGAACCACCTCTTCCTTCTCCCAATCTCGGAGCATTCTATTGAAGCTTACCTCCCAGTCATGTAAGCTCCTTCTTAGTTCAACCACCTGTTTAATTGTTTTCAGCTTATCAGGAGAGATACGACATAATCGAGGAAACTCATCCTTTAAACATCTAACAGTAGCCCACTTATCCTCCCAAAACAAAGTTCTATCCCCATTGCCCACCATTATGCAAGTATTCCTAACAAAGAAACTGTGCAAAGCAGGGGTGGAAGTTGCCACTGAGATAATATCCTTCCATAACTGGGAGTGCATCTGGGTGGTTTCCGTAGTTGGATACCACTTGCTGCCCTGGATGTTATATTTTCCACACAAAACTCTCTTCCACAACAACTTTTCATCACCGCCAAACCTCCACCACCACTTAAGTAGCAAGCATGCGTTCACATCCCTAAGACTCTTGATGCCTAACCCTCCTTTAATAACACTTTTAGTAACTTCAGACCATTTAACCATGTGAATCTTGCTCTTAATGACAGATCCACCCCATAGAAAAGCAGCTTGAATTTTGTCTAGCTCTTTAGCGACTCCTTCAAGCATCTTAAATAAGGAGAGATAATATACCGGGAGGCTAGATAAAACTGCTTTGATAAGAGTTAGTCGCCCTGCAAGAGCTAAAAACCTTCTTTTCCAACTGGCCAGCTTGACTTTGACTCGATCCACAACAGGCTTCCAAGTCCTTAACCTTCCTGGATTGGCCCCAAGAGGCATCCCAAGATACTTAAATGGAAGCTTTTGACACTTACAATTTAGCCTACCGGCGATTTCCTCCAACCAGGCATCTTGAACTCCAATGCCAGAAATCACACTCTTATGATAATTGATCCGGAGCCCAGACATAACTTCGAAGCATCTAAGAATCCTCTTAATATTCACCACTGCCTCCCATTCTGCCTCACAAAATATAATAGAATCATCCGCAAATTGAAGATGGGACACTGACACTTCGTTCACCCCAAGAACAGCACCCTTGAATAGATTTAACTCCCTAACCCTGGTCAACAAGATGTTAAGGCCCTCAGCTACCATATTAAAAAGAAAAGGTGAGAGAGGATCCCCTTGCCTAAGGCCTCGAGATGGGCTAAACTCCGATGTGGGGGAACCATTCACAAGAACTGAGACTCGAGTATTCGATATACACTCCTGCACCCAAGTCAGCCATTTTTCTCCAAAGCCAAAATTCTTCATCATAGATAGCAGAAAGGACCAATTAACTGAGTCATAAGCCTTTTGGAAATCAAGTTTCAGTATAATACCACGCTTTTTAGTCTTCTTCCACCAGTCAACAATTTCATTGGAAATTAAGATCCCATCTAGGATACTTCTACCACCCACAAACGCTGACTGTTCTTCACTAATAATTCTAGCCATCACCATCTTTAACCGGTTAGCCAAAACCTTAGAAAGAATCTTGTAGACAGACCCGATTAAACTGATCGGTCGGTAATCCCCAAAACTAATAGGATTGTCCCTTTTAGGCACTAAAGTAATGAAAGAACTGTTAATCCCACCCACCAATTTCCCATACCGATGAAAGTCCTGCATAAACTGGATTACCTCTTTCTTCACAACCTTCCAACATTTCTGAAAAAACAACATATTAAATCCATCCGGCCCCGGAGTTTTATTACCATCACAACTTCTCACTGCTGCCCAAATTTCTGCCTCAGAAAATTCGGCCTCAATGTGTTCCACTGCTGCTATGCTACCAATAGATTTGAAACTTCCCACCAATTTTGGCCTTGAACTCCACACTTCCATGAAATGCGCTTTGAAATATTGAAACACTTCATGCTTCACTCGAACTGGCTCATCATATAAAATTCCATCAAATTTCAAAGAGCCAATTACATTTCTATTCTGTCTGCAGCTTGCCATAACGTGAAAAAATCTGGTATTTTTATCCCCTTTGAGCGCCCAATTTTGCCTTGATTTTTGAAGCCAAATCCATTCTTGCATTTTACTTAATTTCCACACCTCGTCTCTAATTTCCCTTCTACTCGACTCCTCCCCATTAGATAGCTCTCTAGTTTCAGTTAATAAATCAAATTCATGTAATTAGACACCCCATTTTTGACCGACCTTAAGACTCAGACGTCACCGATTGAGCGCTTGGTGATGTTGCATAATGTGCTTGTTCAGAAGTTTCAAAGTTGCGGCTGTGAGCCCTGCCTCCGGACTTCCGAACCCTCTTCTGTACCTTAAGTAGCTGAAGTTTTTTGTGCATAACAAAACCACCCCACCCAGTAAGCTGTGTCTCTTCCCAGGCCTCCCTTACCACTTTAGAGAATGAAGGATGAAGAAGCCAGGCATTTAAAAATCTGAATGGTTTAGGACCCCAATCCCTTTCGTCCTCCATAAGCAAAATTGGGCAATGGTCAGAAACAATTTTAGGCAAGCCCCACAGTTTGATATTGAAGTTTTCCAACCACTCTGGGTCTAACAAAAACCTGTCTATTCGACTCCATCTCGCACCCTCCTGATTATTACCCCATGTAAATTTTCTTCCAACCATTGGAATGTCTATGAACTCACAGGAGTCAACAAAGTCGTTGAACTCTCTCATACCCCTATCCCTTCTTGACACACCTATACGCTCACTAATCAACCTGATTTCATTGAAATCCCCCTCCAGACACCACGGGCTAAGAAATTTACTTCTAAGTTGTTTAATAATTTCCCACAACCTCCCCCTCTTACTGACATCAGTAGGAGCATACACATTCATCAAAACACAATCAAAGGAATGATAAATAGTACCTTGCAAAAGTAGGAAATTCCTACTGCCACAGCACTCCTTTAATTGAAAGAACTCAGGATCCCAGACACAGATTATGCCACCTGAACTTCCTTGTGATCCAACCTCCATATACTCAAACCGGGTACATCCCCAAATAGATCGAATATCCCATTCTGATAGCGAAACTCTTTTTGATTCTTGCACAAAAACCATTCCAATTTTCCTCTCCTTTATTAATTTCTTGATTTTGCCCCTCTTTTCTGGCCGACCCAAACCTCTTATATTCCACGATAGTATCTTCATTTAAACTACTATCCACACTTTGAGCGCACCTGCGGACTGGTTTATCTTGGTGAACCAGTTCTAACCCCGACTTTTTCTTTGTCTTGCTGTTCCAGCTGCACGATACTGTTAACAATTCTTGCTTCATCTTTCCCAAACTCCACCCCAAGTAATTTACCCATGCACAGTGTTGCCTGAGCTTCATTTAAAATCGGAGCACTTCCTCGAGACCTGCTGTTATTTCGGTTAGCTAGAGATCTGGACAAAGCTACTGAAGCCGATCTGAACAGAGCCTCCTTTTGAGAGTTTCGTCTTGCTACTGCCTCACTGTGCCCTCTTCTCCGTGCAGAAAATGGTAGCTTCCAACTTCTATTTCTATGCCGAGCTTTCTTACGAACTGGAGTAGCAGCGTTCAAAAGTTGTTTAGAAGGGCCCTTATCCAACTCCTTACTGTTACTTTCCAGATCCAAAGCCATTGGATGGCTAAAATTCTAGCCCACTAAACCATACCTAATACCCTGACTAGGATATGGCCTTCTCGGCCCACCAAGCACCAATTCTCCCAACTGGGCCTGGGAGAAACACACCTCAAGATGGACTTCAGGCCAGCTCTCCACCGGTCCACTCAAGCTCTTCATATATCCAGAGGTAGCCACATGTCCATCCACTTGCCCATCGAGCCTCACACCAGAATCATCATTACACTTCTGCTCAGATGACAACTCTGGTATAACCATCTTATCGGAGCCTGCATTTGAATTTGAATTTGAATTTCCAAGGCTTTCCACAGTCTCAGCTACAACCGATGCATGTTGCCAGCTCAAACTTCCTCCACTTTCCACTTCAGTTGAACTAACCCGTTGATCCTTATCCACATCAGCTAGAATGTCCACGGCACCCTCCTGATTTGGTGCCACCTCAGCTTCACCTTCCACCCGGCCATGGGCAGAGACTGAAACTCCATCACTATGTCCACCAGAGCCATGTAACTCGTCTGAATTGTGACTATCCAAATGCCTGCATCTAGAAAATACCAATTGCTCTTCACAGATTCGCACTGGGTACACACCGCTGCCGGATTCGAGACTAATCACGACATTGATGGCCCTCCATACATTTCGAAACAATCCTAATTTTACTGCAGACGAACGATAACGGTCCCCAATATCTTCACTCCAGCCCTACCACTTCCCACATATGACTTCCAATAGAAGTAAAAGTTTCTGCACTCCACAGGTTCAGAGGAACTCCATAGCATGAGAGCCAAGTGCTTCTCTCTTGCTCAATATGCAGTCGCTTTCCAATCCCGACAAATTCACCCCATCTCTCTCTTCCTCTTCTGTTTCCCTTTGTTTCTGGCTTTTTTCCTCACGCTGCTATGTCCGACTCGCCTTTTTTACACTCGCGCCACACCTTGGGCCGTTATGAGGCCTAAATCTGTGTCCACCGCACTCCTTCTTTTTCTTTTTTTTTTCCTCCTTTTTTTTCCTGGACCCCCCTTTTTCTTTTTTTTCCTTTTTTTTCCCGTTTTTTTTTTTTTCTTCTCAATCGGGCGCCTCCATTTTTTCGGCAGCATATTGTGCTTCATGCAATCAGGAGACAGGACCCTCTCCCTTTTTTTTTTTTTTTCTCCTCCCCCCTCTCGCATCCGACCGGCCGCACTGTAGCACTCTGATCATACATCTCTTTTTTTTTTTCTTTCCTCGGCTGGTAGTCCTTGAACCTGCGTCGCACGCTTCCTGATCTGTCCCTCAGCCGTCATGCGGCACACAGATTGGTAACCGCACCCCTTTTTTTTTTTTTTTTTTTTTTTTTTTTCCCTTTTTTTCTTTTTCTTCTTTTTTTTTTTTTCTCTCCACCACTTGCTCAATAGCGCCTTTGTAATCCACACCACGAGCGCAATAGCTGTCACCCGCTCGGCTTATTATTTATTTTTTTTTTTTTTTGCTTTTTTCCTTTGTCCGACGCCCCCCTTTAACCCACTTTTTTTCTTTTTTTCTGCTTTTTTCCTCCCTTCTCCTTTTTTTCTGCCCTGTCGCGCTCTGTCATACCCAGCTCCCTTCTCTCTTGTGTAGGCCCTACCTTTTTTTTTCTTATCTCTACGGAACACATGTCCTCCACATTACTTCCTAAAATACGTCATATCCCTTTTTTTTTCCTTCTTTTCTACTCCATCTAGGCCCGATCTTTTTTTTTTTTTTTTTTCTTTTTTTCCCCCCTTGTTCTTCTTTCTGCTTACCTTTTTTTTCCCTTTTTTCCCTTCTGTCACTTGCTCATGTCTACTGATGTTCTCTGTCATCGTCTGTTTTTTTTTTTTTTCTT